GATGTACCTGCATCTCAAAGTTGATGTTCACTCCAGAACTTGAATCCAATACCGTTTACTGTAAACGTCACTGCATTATCCACTTGGCTACTGAGTCCTGTTAGCTACTTGCTTGTGCAATGGGGTGAGGTTTAAATTCATTTTGTATTATTATTTTGAATCTTCCCTTTGATGTTTAGAACTGCAATCGATTAGTCTCAAATGTTGTTGGATATTATAACACAGAAGAGAGAAGATAAAACAAATATTGTATGGCTACACTGTATATCTTCTTGTTATTGCATTTTTTCTGGGGAATGAAGCCAGTGAGACGACTAAAAGAATATTTAATTTTTTTTATTTTAGCCCAAAAAGATGAATACACCATACTACTTAATTATTCATTAAACTAATGAAGTATAATTGCGTTTTCGTTTTTAAAAATGGGTGATGAATTAGCTGGTATGTTTGAAATTAAGACCTAAGCATATTTAGTTTAAGCTTCCATGATGTAATAAATATATCAAGCTACATTTCAATTGTTATATGTTGACCCTATTTGTGTATCACAATACAGTTACTCTCTATTCCTTTTTCATGTACAATTGTAATGTCCGATAGCATTCAAACAGACACAAAGAATATATACATATGCATACATTATCCATTTCATGTACATATTGACACAGAAACAATTAAACATTGAATAACACAGAATCTTTCTGATATGCAACAAATTTGTTCGAAGCTAAAACGCAAACGTATAAGAATGAAAAACGGTTTTCAAATAGAATATGCTGGAGAAGAGAATAGTTGTACAAAAGGAGCTAAGGGAATGTCAAGTATGATATTCATAGTGAACAATATATGGTAATTTATAAACTAGTATCAACTTACCAATATCATTGTCATCGATACTATCATTATTTCACTAATTAATATTCACTTTTAAGTTTATTTCATACAACCATTCATACAAATTTAGTTCTCTTTTCTTACATATCATTTTCCCTTATATTTCTCTACATTTCTACACTCGTTCTTATAATTAGTCATTTATTTAGATAAGTATCATTCATGCGTAAATCACTAGGGTGTTTTTTTTGTTGATTTCCAAATAGTCACATACACACACAAAATAAATATACATATAGATAAAAGAACTATAAATAAGCATACATACACACACAAAGAGAGAAGAGGAATATATTAAAAATGATTCGACATGATCTCTATTTATTAATTCATCAATTTAATTGTTGTCACTATGTTTACATTTAATCTGGTTGTACAAGCCTTGACATCAAGATTATCATCATCATCATTTTGACTGTTAGTCTATTTCGAAAAGTAATGATAATAATAATAATATTTTTATGAGTCGAATCATGGAGATTGTCTTAATTATGATGTGTCCGATTTGTTAAAATCTCCATTTGTGTGTCAGTTCCAGACTTAACGTCTTCGATTTATAATGAGGATAGGAATACACAAGAAAATTGGAGATGACATTACTGTATAATTATTTTAGTTTGGGATCCTACAGTAGTGTATATCTACAAAACTTAACAAGGTCGAACTCAAGAACGTTACTGAGTCAGCTAACCGATTTCCGATGAAATTACGTTCAAGCTGTCTATCTCTTTCTTTCTCTTTCTATACATATATATACCTTCTCTTTATGCGTTACAGATACATTGTCTGTAGTCAAACAAATTTAGGTTACAGTAGGACTCATACTTAACTGAATCACATGTAAGATATTGTAAAAACCAAGGTCTAATTGATGAGTCAAAAATTCTGTTCAGTATTTTTTGCAGCCTTAGATCTAAGGAATTTAAACCAATAATTTGATTTTCATGAGTAATTGTCAATCACTCATTTAACATTAATTCATACCATCGATTGTTTTGTTACGATCACACACACAAACACGAATAAACTGTCTTATTCAATAATAACACAAATCAATGAAAAATTGTTTACTATCTCTGCATGACATTCAGTAATTAATTTGATTTGATTAAACTTGGCCAATATTGTATTTTTTTTTAATCAAGGAGAACGCGGTTACCGCTACACACAAAAAATTCGTTAAATGATGCTATGCATTGACTGTGATCGAGGATTATTTCTTCAATAGCTCCCCCTTTTGTTTATCGGAAAAAATTGTTCAGAAATCAAAAGAGTTTATATTAGCTATGTTAAAGTTTCTATTCGGATGATAAACACCATGATATTTGGTGTATAAGTTTGAAATTAACTCTGTTTACTTTATCAGTAATAGGGATATGTGGAGATTGTAGAATTGTCACAGCTGAAATAACGAGTCGATCTGAGCTAGACCACCATTAAAAACCTGGAAGCATTGCTTGACGACCGTCTCTTCCTAGTATGGGACTCCTCACCAGTGTGCATCCACGATCCCACATGTGGAAATCGAACTCAGAACCTTCATTCTCTCACACAAACCCTTAACCTCTAAACCACTGAACAGGCATCCAACAGTGTTAATGTCTAGCTTCAACACTGATAATAATCATGTGCTCACTAGTGAATAGTTCTAGTAAGAAGTCAAGATCAGTGGAGTCCAATCTACGTCAAGTAGAGACAGCTATCTATCTCAGACAATGGACGAAGAGTTTCGCAAGATCATGGATTGATTGAAGTTGGACGCTAACACCGTTGGATTCCTGTTCAGTGGTCTAGAGGTTAAGGGTTTGTGTGAGAGAATGAAGGTTCTGAGTTCGATTTCCACATGTGGGATCGTGGATGCACACTGGTGAGGAGTCCCATACTAGGAAGAGACGGTCGTCAAGCAATGCTTCCAGGTTTTTAATGGTGGTCTAGCTCAGGTCAACTGATGATTTCAAGTGCAATTTTTTTTCTGTTTAAGTCAACCTTATATATATATATATATATATATATATATATATATATATATATATATATATATATATATATATATATATATATGGAACAAAATAGATGGATTCGACAATAAATATTGTCCTACCCATTTTAATTGATAGTTGAAAAGAGAATTCACCTTTTTCTAGTATTTTGAATATCTAAAAAAATGTTTGGCAAATTTTTAAGTGAACATTATAAAGAAAGGAAAAAAAACAAGGGAAAAACACCATTTTTATAACAGCCATGATGACAATAGTTTTAACGACAATTAATGAATGACCAAATCGGTTAATAATTACGATAATTACTACTTTTCAATAATTAGTCGATGAATAAATTATGAATTAGTTAATCATGATCATATATTAAGCTGTTTTAATGAATAAACAACATTAATTTTATGTTACTAAGCTAACTGAATATTCTTAATAATTTTTCAAAATGAATCAATGTAAAACGTATCGTATATAAATAAACATATTCCGAAAAAAAGAATTTTCGAATCTAGATTCAATTAGACGTATTGATCACCACAACAGTGATACATTATGATATTTACAGTGGTTCAGAGAGTTTCTAGGGTATGTATATGAATAAATACAAACTCCTAAGCAAAAGGGCTTTTGGGGGCCCTCAAATGACCTGGTACAACCGAGAGTGGGAAGAGTTCGCTCCCCCACTCCAAATGCTCTCATATGGCCACGCTAATATATAGCCTCTCCCAGGGAAGTCCTACTCACTGCCTTCTCGTACCACAGGTGTTGTTTGCGAAATTCAGAGGACGAAAAGCGAATGTCCAGCGCTTTAACCGGGTTAGTAGACACGGAAAGTTCATCTAGGGGAGATGGAAAACCCTGATTCCAAACGAATGGTGCACATGGGCTCTAGTATCCTGAGGAAATAAATGGCGTATTAATCAATCGTTGGTCACCAGCTACCATGGGACTGCATCTCCTCACCATGCTCCACTGCCTTGTGGATCAGACCTTTAGGTCAAAGGCTCGGGGTGTGGCCCCCCTAAGAAAACCACCCGTTTCAGTTGGGGCACCTGAGCAGTATCCCAGCCCTCACAAAAATGGAATGAGATTTGTGTGGCGCATATGTATCTGGTGCTTTCTTGTACCAATATTTATGTTTAAATAAATAAATAAAAACATAAGCATATATATATGTATATGCAGCCAATCACTTAATGATCATGAAGTTACATCATAGCTACATCATAGTACAGTGCATTTAACGAATGTATATCTAACACAGTTCATAATACATAAACCGAGTAGTGAAGTCGACATGTCTAAATAATTTTCTTAATTTTATTGTATTCTGAAGAGGTCAAGTAGTACTCGAATAAAGTTTTATTTTTATAGACAAAGAATATATGACTAAAGATGGTTTATACATCTACATACAATCAGTTTCAACATACGGTTGTGCAAATGTGTCTCTGTATATGCTGTCTTCTAAATAAGAAAGTTTAATATCCAACATCATCACAACCACCCCCAAAATCATACTATATACATATATGTATATATGCATGCATGCATGCATACACGACAAGTGTGTGTTAAAGCAAAGATAGACAATTTGGTAAAAAAAAATTTGAAATGCGTGTATTTATGTGTACATGTGAAATGTTTAGGCCGTTTTCTGTACAACCAAATAGATAAACTCAATCATAGGAGAGACAGCATGATATCAGGGCTACAGGGCTATATAAGAATACTACAAGCTAATATTAACGAACAGACTATCTATACTTATTAAAGATACGGAAACATACGGAATCGTAATTATTTCCATGGTGGTTATTCATGTAAAGCTTTTTTTCTTTTTTGGAAAATATAACACAAAACAGAATGACTACTGATCCTTTGAATCATTATATTCTAGATATAAAAATTTTTCACTATCTTTAAGTTGAGTGTTCGCGCGTGAGATTAAAGGTCCTGGGTTCGAATCCGGCGTGCGGACACGTGGATGTGCACTGTTGAGGAGTCCCAAACTAGGACGAAATGGCCGTCAAACAATGCTTCCAGGTTTTCAAAGGTGGTCTAACATTTATCGATTCATGATCTCAATCAAATTTTTTTTTTAAAACATACCGGTAAAAGATGAAATCGTTTTTTAAGGTCTGAGCTAATTTTTAATTCATTTGCCGATTTCATTAATTTCACAGGAAAATATACACGTATTGTAGCTAAAGCATCATTTGTTATAAAATTATCATTAGATACATTTTCCATTGTATCAATATTATTCGTCAATGAATTTGATAATTCTTTACAAGAATCATTTATAGATTGAATCATTAATCCAGTAGTTCCTTTGTTATTACGATGAACAATATTAGAATCTGAATGTTTTGATTGAATATATCCACTAGTTGAATTTCGATTATGTTGTTGCTGTTGTTGTTGTTGTTGTTGTTGTTGACTTTGTTGTTTATCATGTAAACGTTGAAAGAAATGTATAGGTGTACATAAAATTGGTATATTTTTATCATTACTTAAATCTAATGGTATTGTATAACCTAATTTGACATCAAATTGTGATTTACCATATTTAATCCAACATGGATTATATATACGTATCCGATTATAAAATAATTGTGATTGATGTTCACCGAAACAATCGATTAATTCAATTTTACATCCAGATAATTCACTTTTAATGAACATTGGTTTTTTGGATATCCTTTTTTTTAATAATAATAATAATAATAATAATTTGTTTTAATGATATACATTTGATACATAAATAAATACACGCTTGTATCTATCCACTGTTATTTTGTTTAAATGAATCAAAGGATATATCTCACATAAATTTATACATTGTTTTCTTTCTTTCTTTAAATAACACAATAAGAAATGCTAAAATAAACTTAGTCTAAGATAATTCTAATAGTTGGTCACTATTTATTATTACTATTATTATTCAACACAATAGTATAGTAAAGTAATCATATATACTATACGCACAGAAGATCATAACTACTTATGTACCTACAAAACTTCACACATTGTGATATGATTCTAAAATCGATATATAGATTTATATTGAATATATTTATAGAAATACATTTGTATGTATTTTTTTAATGTATGTGTATTCATATGATTTTCTAAGTTCTGTGTGTGTATATGTTAGATAAGATGTTGATACGATAGATTGTTACACTGCCAAGATAATATTAACATACTTATTAAACAAGCATTTTATACGTGTTCGTGTATATTAATGCGGATGTGTTTGTATGCACCCTATTAATTTGTTCATATGCATATGTAAGTGAATGTGTGTGTATATGTGTTAATGTAATACTTGTTTATACTTGTAATATCCAAATAGATAATCCAACTATTTCAATGAGCACATTGGAATAATAACACTATAAACCAAAGAAAAGAAAAAAAAAGATTATTATGAACATGTTTAGAATAAGATTTTAACCAGATTTAATTATGTATCATATATGATAAAAGAATGTTTAAAGAAATTTATGAAAAAAATGTCAACATGAATACTATATTCGATAATTTTAATGTTTAATTATAATTCTTTGAAAAAGCTTGGACCAGATTGCCAGGCGAAACGTTGGATTTACTTCAAATTTATTCGCTGAGATTTTACAAATATATATATAATTTCCTATTTAATGTCTTACATCAACTCGGCGCTCAAATACTGTGAAACTATTCGTTCTAATTTGGACGAAAGATCTTATATACTATATTTATTTCATTGTGAGAAATTTACTTTTTCTTAGATAATCCTATGAAAAACAATAATAATAATAATAATAACAAACATTGAACTCAACTAACTTTTATAGTGATTGCTGGTAATTTTTTTGTCTTCATCCACTAAACATCATCCACTAAAGCAAACAAATTAAAAAATTGTGTGCAAATCTGTTCAAAATAAGCATGGTTTATTAAAGGTCTTAATTATTCATACCGAGAGTTTTTTAGATTTTTGCTTTAGGTCAGTAAACAGAATATGGCCTGTCTGTCTATCTATTATTATATTTGTATATATATCCATACATATTAACTATATAGTTTGTCTATTTGTTTGGTTGTTTGTTAGCTGTCTTAACAATGCTTGTTGGTTAGGCCAAAAACAACTTAAACATATCATGCTTATAATCGATTGGTTAAATAGATTTCATTGAAAATCCACCCCTTTACACATATATTAACATACAACACAGGCATGGGCTGATTTGTTTGTCCAACAGGGGGCTGATGAATTTTACCATCTGGCCAACTCAAGTCATATTAGACTTTCAGGAAAACGACGCTAATTAAGGGAAATGAAGAATTTAATGATCATCATCGAGGATAGATTTGAAAATTCATGTAACCCTGTATTTCTCTTGATCCATGTATCATAAACCTAAAATTATGTCATCAATCAAGCTAATCTTGTTTTCGAAAAAAAAACTATTTCCTTTAAGATTAAAACATCTGTATTTGATTAAAAGTGAACTTAAAAGTGGCATAGTGTTTTTTTTTAATAATTAAATTAGTTTGTCACCACATTTTTACCAAACTATCTCAGACATGATTGAAATTATTGAAATATAATGAAAATATGACACCATTTTTAAAAAACTTAATTTCATTATTCAATACGACGTTATTGTTAATTTATTAATAAAGACAAATGTTCATCTTGGATTCTACTGTTAGCCGCCATTCACTTCTGCTGGTAATAATAATAGTCTGCCCTGATTCTTAACAAATTTGCTTTACTCTTGTTTCATGTCGTCTTTTTTTAGCGATTAAGAATTTTTTTAATCATACAGTTCGATTTAGAAAATATTGTTTATCAATGGATAATAGTTTTAAGAGTGTGCGTATATCACCCATATTAATCGGTCATTAGCTAACAATCAATGATATGTGTCTAGTTTTCAATGTTCTCGGATTGTGTGTAATGTATTATCACCGAGCTCAGTTACTATGAGGAATATATATATATGACTCCTGAGTGGTAACCAATATTATGTTTGTTTAGTCCTTTGTGCTGACCAAATTCTACTGATCAAGTTTGAAAGTGAACAGTAGATGAAGTGACTTGACATTGTATGTAGTATGTTGGAATATCAAGTGGTTGAAGGTAGTCGGCAGGTGAACGTAATCCTTAGTTTTATGCTGTTCTGCACTCGTCAATCGGTCATATCTGGAATCTTGAAGGAACTTCTGTTCCCTTTGAGTTTCAAACCCAGATCACCTAACTGTACATTCCTAGAAATCGCCAGCTAACAACTTGATAGATATAATCCGATCAGTAAATTTAGGGTTTCATATAATTTTATAATCATAATGCACTCTGAATAAAACATCAGTGAAACTACAATTTATCGATAGCACAAAATTCTAAGGGGTGATAACCGCTTACTACAATAAACTAACTCATTTATCAGAGTTATTACGATATAATGACTGTCTTTAAATTGTGGGATAAACGAAATACAAAACAAATGATCTTTTGATTATTATAATGACACTATGATAAAACCTTTGTTGATGTGTAGGGATGTAATAAAATCAACATGATTAGAAATCGAAATAATTATTTCCACTTTATACCACTAAATATTGATAAGAACGTAGGTTTTATTGATACTAGTCTGTTGCGCCTTTGGGGCTTGGTGACAAGAGGCTTCAACATCTGCCACCAGTATGCCAACTGACAAATGGGAAAAGTTATTATACTACAGGCATTTGTGATTTAACGATCAATACTTTAGATTTCAATCAGGTTGTTATGTGTAGTACAATTATTACAATATGATCAATGACACACAAGTTTCACTTTCAAACCATATATATGAGAGAGAGGCAATGTAGATTGAAGAAACAGCAGAAAATAAGATGGGAACCCTTCATAGACCTTAGTCGTGACCACATAATCCGTCGATATGATCCTAACAGTTACAAAATAGGACGACTAACTTTCAAGTCGTTACCTTACCAAAAACTTATGCGTATTCAGTTACAAATAGGAAATTTTCAAGACGGATAAATCATTTAATTCGGCAAACTAGATACATCTGTTGATGACAAGTGTTCACAAGTGTTATTGTTGATTGATTGATGTTAAGTATTACTCAGTGTAACTTATTCAAATTCGACTGTTGTTCAGTAAAAGCTAAACATGATAAAAATCAGTGTATTTGGACATAGAAACACATAGAAACATGTCAACACTGAATATCATTCATCATTAATAACTCATCTTACACATACATACATACACACAATTCATGCAGTCTCGTTTAATTCACATCGTTGAACTTTTCACTTGATTCTCATTCAACTGACTCATATTATCCTGTTTACAAAAACTTCGACATCCAAATATGATTGGGTTAAAAAGTATTAGAGATTTTGATATGATTGTAAAAAAAGATTATATATTTCTTTGATGATTTTGATTATTTCCCTGAAGAATTCTAGACAAGTTAGCTGAACGAAACGTTGGAATTATTTAAATTTCAATCGCTGAGACTATTTCAAATATAATTTTTTCACATATAATGTATTTGGACATAGTTTTTGGTCTACTTTTTGGTGCAAAAATGACCTTCATTTGTAATCCATGCTATCTTCCTTGCCTTGATGCATATGAGTCTTCGCTGTTAAAGTGCTTAACTCTAGTAATCACAATTTCGACTAGAAAACTCGGTTATATCAGTTTAAGTCGAGTCAACAGTAACCATATGAAAGAGTAGAAGTTGAAAAGTTTTGTTAATATTTTCATTTAATAACTATTCTATTCAGTAGTTTGTTCGTTTACTTTTTAACAAAACTTAAAAATGCATTTGAATGGTAAACAAAGTGAATTGAACAAATGTTAACATAAATGCGTTAGTGTGTGCATTTTACCATTTATTCTAATTTAATAATAAATTCTCACAAAATCTGTACAATAAAAATAATAATTTCTCATTTCCCTTACATTACAAATCACTGGATCAAATTTTATTCACTAGATTGGTTTTTATAATTACTATCATTGTGCATAATAGAAGCATATAAGTTCCATGTTGCAACAGAGGAAACAAATCACTAGGGTATGAAATTTTGCCGAAGTTAACAAGAAATACACAAGTTAAAAAGGAAGAACAAACAAAAAGAAGAGGAAGAAATAGAAAGAAATACATGTGCATCATTTAGTCTAATGTTAAAATACTTCACCAAAATCTCTGATTCTCATGGTTTACCTTATTGAACAGCTTAAAGAAAAATCCATTTATGTCATGAACTAGTGAAGTGTCTTGATATGAATATGCTCAATTAAATCATACTTCAGCCAACTCCGCGAGTCAATTGTTTTATGACAAACATAAAGCGTAACCTTAGGACAACCTATTGAAGGTTCCCAGGTCTGTCATTTGGTCTACCAACATTGTCTAGAATACTACATCTGAAATCAATACTTCTTTTTTGACTGTCCTGACATATCCGAGCCACGTTGCAAAATATACTTATCTTTTGAATGTTTGTAAATGTGATTTATTCTTACAGCTGTAGAATGGTACAAAAAAGACGATAACATGGTATAGTTGTCATCTGAGTGACAATGGTAAAAAAGCAGTTTAGTAAGTTCCAAATACTTTTATCTGAGATCAGTTTATCAGGGCTGATACTTTCATCATGGTCTGTTTAGACAAGTTTGGGATCATTACTTTGTATACAGTAGTTTGGTAACATTCTTTTAATCAAATTTAATAGATTTGGAGCTCATTTACATTTATTTGCTTATTGATTTTCTCTTTTCTATATGATTCGATCGGTTGTAGTAAAGGGAATCGACATGTTACAACTAATTTATAAAGAATTGATATGTTATACCGTTATTCTTTGATTTTTTTATGCTCACCCTGGTTATTAATGAAATAACTATTGTTTGTGTGAATGAGGTCAAATTACACCATAATCATCATTAAAAAATGCATATCAATTTCACAGAATGTTATTTCTATCCAAGTAAATTATTTTTAAGTGTTCTATAAAAAGAATGGGATACTTTGAAGTCAGCTATTATCATGATTGGCAATTAAGTACATAACTAACCAAGGGCAGCAAATATTTAAAAAAATCTTTTTTCGCTCTAGTTTATGACTAATCAGCTATGATTATCTTAAAATTTCGGTGACTAAAATGGATATTTTTCTGTATGGTAACGAAATTTCAATGAAAAATCTGACGTCTAATTCAAATAGACAACAAATAAAAAAGAAATACTTGTTATCACATGCTTTAAAGTGTGAACTATGATTATGAATGATACCTTATTTTAAATGATTGGACGAAACATGCTGTAACACATTATTACTATCATTATTCATATATATGAAGATAATCTTAGTGTCTAACTACTTTTCTTCATTATATTGACCTAACTAGACAATTTTGTTCAGCGATATTTTCCATTGAAAGTAGTTTTGTGTTGTATATACAACTTAGAGATTTGGTTAATGGACATATTATCTAGAGTTTGAAATTTGATTGTGTATGCGCAATGTTGAAGAGTCTCATATTAGAACGAAACTGCCGTTCAGTGCTTTCAGGATTTCGATTGTGGTCTAACTTAGATTGACTCATGAATTCAGCTATTAAAGTTTATCTATTATTTGGGGTTTAATATCAGTATGTTGATTGGTTTGCTGATAGGAATTCGAATTAAAAGAATTAGAGTAATAATAATAATAATAACGACGATGCAATGGTACTCGATTGACTTCAGTTGTATAATTTCTAATTGTTGCAAATTCCCTTTTGTTTGCGTATTTAAAAAATGTGTTAACTTTGAACTAAACTGAGTCAATTGAAACTAGACCACCATCGAAAACCTGAAACCACTGCTTGACGGCCAACTCGTTATATTGTGGGACTCCTCAGTAGTGTGCCTCCAATATCCCGCCTGGTGAGATTCCAACCCAGGACCTATCAGTCTCGCGCGCGAGCGCCTAACC